CATTTATATGAAAAGTAGTTTTTTCGAATATAAAATACATGGAAAACTTTGAGCGCTTTGAGCGATCTCTAAATATTTTTTTATTTCAATATAAAAAATAGGGGTATATTTTTTCGATATACAACAATCCTAGGAGGTGAGAGCATTAAAATTCCGACTTTACTTTATCTGGACCACCCTATTAAACATACACCGTGCACTGAAAAGCCAAACCAATCAGTAAAAATACCAGTTCATTAACTAGTATGTGCTACATTTCGACAATTTCGAAGAACTTAAGCGTTCAGCGACATCTGACTTTGAATTGCCAAAGCCAAAAATAAAACGCAATTAATCGTTTTTCTTACAAATGTCAGCTGTGGCGTTGCGTGAAGACAACTGGTTCTAGTTCTGAGATCGCAGGTTCGAGTCCACTTGGAGGGGGCTAAGATTTTTCAAATTAAATTAATTTAAGTTATTATTTCAATTTAAATATAAATATAAATTACAAATTGCAGAAAAAACATACATGTGGTAAGAAATACTTGCGCTATGAAACAAGTTCAAGTCAGGTGGAGAGAAAATTTTTTTAATTCATTTATTTTGTTTAGATTTTTATTGTAATTTTTAAATTTAACTAAAAAATATATATGTATTTATATGAAATTAAAATGAATTTACAAAAATAATAAAAAAAATTCCCTTCACCTGTGCTCAGTACTTTGCCCTGTCGACCATTGCGACTGTTGGGGGGCCGCGAGCAAAATGTCATACTTATGCTTTCCACAAGGGATGAATTGGCAGACTATCTCATTAACTGGTATGATGCTACTAGTATTTCTACTAGTAGATGCTGATGCCTGATAATTGACATTTCGTAGCACATCGCCATGTTAAAAATTCCAGTCGCCAACATTGAAAAAGGATAGAACGTGAACTAGTTGGGCTAAAACGCAAACTGGTAGAATTCTAGTTCACAACTAGTAGCTTTCCCTACAGGGCATATATAAATAGATACACACATACACATGTATATTTCAATGAACCAATTAGTCGTCTGAATGAAAATACATACATCAGAAATGGGAATAACTAGATTGCGAACAGTCATACGTTATTTTTTTGAGGAAGCACAATACAATTGCGGTATTCACAAGGCAGTCGTAAGTAGCGAAATTTGGTATGTATTTATTGCGGACCCCCCGCCAGATATTAAGTAGTCATACGAGGGTAACTGAATAAAGCTTAGGTGTTTTTAACAATACTATCATTTGAGTTGATCTGAGCCATGTGCGGTATGGAAAATTGGCAAATTTCTCAAAAAATAATTGTGTTGATTGGTGCGGCAAACACTGCAAAAATACTAGACTGCCATGTCCAGACAGTTAAATCACATCATAACAGATGACCTAACTTCTTGGATATATCGACGCCTAGTTTACGTATGTACATATCGACACCTCCAAACCATATCATGCTAAGTCATCAGTGATTTAGGGAGACTTAGCATAGTATGGTTTGGAGGCGTCGATATGTACATACCTAAACTAGGCAACAAATGAAAGTGTGCGCCTTGTTTTAATCTAACATTCGCAGTTATTTTCATAAAACATAAACCATAAAATCAAAGCACTTCATAAAAAGAGCAAAAAATTGTCATCAATAATTTCAACTTTTTATTCGGAATCTCTTGAAAATTTTCGAGTATGCAGTTTTGTAGCCCATTCAATTTTAGTTCAATGAAATCGCGTTGATTTTTGAGAATTTTTTTTTGCTGACGGTATCACGCATTTTCTTCCACAAAAAGTCAGAAAAAAATTATTAAAAAAAAACCAACGTGATTTTTTAGCAACTTCAAACCTTTACTTTATTATACTAGAATTTAATAAGCTATAAAACTGCATACCGAAAATTATTCTAGAAATTAAAATTGAAAATGCTGGGAACTGAGAAGAAAAGTTTATGGAATTTTTATAATTTCTTTACAAAGTCTGAAATTTGAATTTATATGGTATTTGTTGGATACAGAGCTATAGTTTTATATGAAAATAATGAACCTTTAAAAAAGCTTAAGAAAAGAAGGCAAAACTGGTAGAAATGTTGATGTGCTATCTTTTGTCGCGGGGTGTATATCTGTTGTCATATGCAATAACCGCCTAAGTCGACTTAAGAAAGAATTGAGTTATATATGCTATTTTATTCTTATTTTTTCCTGAGTTCGGGTTTTTCGACTTCAGCGGTTATTGCTTATGACCACAGACATAAATAACATTGAGAGTATTACGGTCTTTATTTGTTCAGATGCAATGACTTTGATCGTTACGCAAAAAAAAAATTATGTTCGAATTTTTGAATGCGCTTTGTGTATTTATCTATTATGAACGAGCCTGTGAGTTCCGAATGGAAGAACATTTCTCTAGCTGCATTCAGACCAGTTTCATTGTAGCAGCACTCCTAGTCCCGCTCTCAACGAATAAAGTGATGTTTCCTGTCAAAAAGGTTCCTTATTTACAGAAATATTTCTATTTGTAAGACTTTGTATTTTACTGGTACCATTCTCCATCTACAAGCTATAGGTGTTGATGCTGCTAGCTTATTTGGTGTCCACCGACGGGTGCCGAGTCGAAGGATATTTTCACCTGAGTATCGTCATCCATGCGCACAACACATGGCTAAGCCAGTGCAATCGTATTTTTATGCGCTTAACCATGTCCATGTCGTTAAAAGGCTCGTACAATATGTCATTCCATCTTCCCCAGCACTCGTCGCTTACGCGAACAGGGCCAACGAACTTACATAGAATAAGCCCCAAAAGCCTTCTCGCTTTTTTCGGCATCGCCCATGTTTCTGCGCCATTTAGAACAAAGGGGCATTACGAAAGAATTGTAGAGCGTAATTAATGTTCGTCGCGAAAGGGCTAAGCTATCCAATTGCCTACAGAGCCCAGAGTATTACCTGTTGGCAAGAGTGGCTTTAAAATCGACAAACAGGTTGTGTGTGTCGATTTGTATATCCAGTGTCTCCTCAGGGATTTGATGTGCTGTTAAATATAGTCAATGGTAGACTTACCAGGCCTGATGCCACACAGAGAAGGTCGTTGAATTGTAGCGACACTAATTAGCGCCGCCCAGGTCAGTTTTCCATCAATCGTTGTGGCCAAACTCAACTTACGGCAGGCCCAATAAACGCGCTGTGGGAGAGGGGTTAGCTGAGTAGGATGGGCTGACATGTGAAGAGATGGTTGGTGTCATGGGTGGAGTCTCCACTTGCCGGACACTCGTTGGGGATATTTTGGGTGTCGAGTCTGGACACGGTATCAAATCAGAGAAACGCGGGTATCTCGTGGCAGTCGAAGCTCTGTGCCTGCAATTGGGCTCCGATCGCGGCATTCATAGCCTGCGAGTCATGGTAAGTTGTAAGAAAAACTTCGGCGAAAAAAGACGCATAACCAATTTGACGGGGAAGAAAGACGCGTAATCATAGATTTATGCTTGGCCAAGGACTGTAACTTCGGCATTATACCCCAAAAACTATTTACGGAATGTACATACTATTACACCCGCAAATATAGTTGACCGCGAAAATAAGTTTACGCATCTTTTTTCGCCGTCAACTATGTTAAGAGACTTTCTTCGCTGAAGTTTTTATTGTGCGCCTTTTTTCGCGGTCAACTTTTGAGGTCGCGCCTTTATTCGTGTCTAGTGACGATACGTACATATGTATGTATGTGTGATCACGACGCAATTTTAGATAAATATATTCTGACAAAACCTAAAAATAGCTGCTAAAATGTAATTTAGCAAATGTGGAAAGCAAAGAACTGAATATACCTACATAGATCAGTTTATTTACGCTGACTTTTTGTTCTTCAGCTGATATGCAATATATGCAGTGGATTTATCATAACGGTTGGCATTCAATTTGGTTTTAGTATTAATTTTCAAATCTAACAAAATTTGCATAAATTTCTCTAAGAATTTCCTACATATATAAATACATACAGACAGTGGGGAGCAGAAAGGAGTACACGGTGATTTTTGTTAAATAATTGCAAGCGTTTTAAAGTAAAAATTTTTTAGTTATTTTTTGATCAGAAAAAGGTTAATGCTTTAACCGAAACCATATAAATTAATTTAAACCTTACACAGAGTTTAGAAAAATGTAAAAAATTTTCATCAAAAATTTGTACCTTTTAATTTTATTTTTTAGAACTTGGTTATGCAATTATGGAAGAAAATGTGCAAGACCGTTTGCAAAGAAAATTAACAAAAAAAAACAACGCCAAAATGTTATAAATTGCACGTGTTGAAGAAAAAAACCGCAAAAACCGTCAGCGAAAAAAATATTAAAAATCAACGCCGCTTAAAAGTAGCACTTTATTATACTACAATTTAATGGGCTATCAAACTGCGTACTCAAAAAATATTCTACAAAATCAAATTAAAAATTTTAATTTTAATGAAAATTTATTAAATTTTTCTAAGCTCTGTATAAAGTTTGAAAGTTCTATTTATACGGTTTTGGTTAAAGCATAAATCATATTTTTTATGAAAAAATAACAAAAAAATTTTAACTGTAAAACTTTTGCAGATATTTAACAAAAATCACCGTATATTCATTTCTGCTCCCCACTGTGTGTTTGTACATACATACATACTATATACAGATCTAAATACAAGCATACGTACGTACTTGCATACAAACATATATTATAAAAATCAGCCAAATCGACCTATAAAATAGTTAGATATTTGACTTTTATGGTTTTTTTTGGTTGCTGAGGTAGACTTTTCGCTGGAATCGCCCATGTGTACTAGTATATTGCATTAATTCTCGCAGAGCATCCTCTTCGGCACGCTCGTATGCAAATGAAGCTCTTCAAATGGCAATCATTTTTCGCCGTTAATTAACTTATGAACACAACTAATTTAATATCTATTTTTATCTGTTATGAAAATGTGTCAACTCTTAAGATCCTTAATTTCACATATGTACATACAACTTCCTTTGATTGCTTTCAGTTTGCAATGAGCCGTCTTCTCGAGCAGCCCAGCATTGCGATGTCCCTTAAGTCGTCGTCAGGTAGTCAATTAACTTCGGGTGCTGCAGTTGGCGGCAATGCAACTGGATTAAACGTCAGTACCACAGAGGCTGCAGTACAAAGCCAAACAGAAGCGAATACCAAACAATTAACGGTAACCAGCACAACGGCGAATAATAATGGTGAGTAACATATGCACATACATACATACATACATGTATATAGTAGAATAGAAATCTTACTATTCAGTACGGCACCTCACCACCCACTCTTTTTTTTACAGCCAACACAATTTTCGATGAAGTTTTCATTAGTTTGGTTTCCGGTTCAGCCGCTGGAGCTTTAGCGAAAACCACTATTGCGCCGCTGGATCGCACGAAAATCAACTTTCAAATTAGGTAAGCTGTAAAAATATTAAAACAAAGAATTAGCGTGTTTCCTTACGCCAGGATTTACATAGTTGTAAATAGTCAGTATATTCAGTACTATCCTTCGGATTAAATTTGACTATTTCTAACTACATAAATTCTGGAGTACTGTAACAGACCATCTAGTATGGAAACATAAAATTAATCCTTGATTTAATTAAATTTTTCACAGTAAAAATGTTCCCTACTCATTCAAGGCTGCGGTAAACTTTTTGAGAAATACCTACGAAAAAGAGGGTATCTTGGCGTTATGGCGCGGCAATTCGGCTACAATGGCACGCATTGTGCCTTATGCAGCCATACAGTTTACGGCACATGAACAATGGCGGAAAATACTACAAGTGGATAAGGACGGCAGCGAGTAAGTTATAGGGATTGACAGTATTTATATGTATACGTATTACGTATTTATTATGTATACTCCCAAAAAGTATTGCAATAATAATTTGAATCGTTTGAAAGATCTTTAGGAGCATTCCATCGTTGAGACGGAACTAGTCGTACACGTTATAAATATACGTACACGTTTTATAAATTTAGATGTTTGCTTAATTATGTATAATTTTTGCATGTCACTTTACGCCCATTCACTGATAATTCGTGAAGTTACTCCGGGTATATGATTTGTTGATGTCCGGAGATGAAAATGATTGATAACGGCTATTTAATTTTTGTTTAATTGGCAGATCGATTTCTATATCAATTTATATACATATTTAAAAAGGAATTTCCGCTGAAAGAAAAATCCGTTTACATTTCTGTTGAAAAATTCGTCCGGAAAAGTAACTAGTTTGGCTTTTTTCTTGGAATGCTCGTTTAGATAACTTAAAATAATAATTTTACTTACACACTTACATAGATATATATATATTTTTTTTTTCACAGCACTAAAGGCAGACGTTTTATAGCTGGATCCTTGGCTGGCATAACTTCTCAGTCGTTGACATACCCACTCGATTTGGCACGCGCCCGCATGGCTGTCACAGACAAATACACTGGCTATAAGTATGTTCTTTGAAAATTACTTAAGTATAAGCGCACAACTCTCCTTGGTTCATTTGTGGTTCCAAGCTATTTTGAATACCCGAGCGCACTTATGCACAAGGGTATTATAACTTTGTTCACATAACCGTTTCATCAATTTGTACCAAAATAGGTATAATTATTGTACTTGTCGCATAAAAGGCAAAACCGTGAAAATTTTAGAAATCGGACTAAAATTACACCCACTTTTCCTATAACAGTAAATTTTAGAAATGCTGAAACTTCGATATTTCGAAATTTAAGGACGTTAATTTACTCAAAATTGATACGCACACAATCCCTTGAAAAGAAGTCTCATTATAATAATATAAAGGAATTTTGGAAAATGGGCGTGATACCACCCACTAATAACTATAAAAGTTAATCTCATTTATCGAAGATGTTTGAAATACGGGTAAAACCACCCCCTGCTTACAATGTGACGGTAGTTTTAGGAAGGTTGAAAAACTATATTTAATACGTGCGCCGGGTATTTAATGTTCGGCTTCGCCCGAACTTAGACTTTTTTATTTATTATCTTAATATTTGTATGTAAACTAAGCTCAATCCATGTCAAATCGACAATTCTTGATTTGGATGAATTTTGTTCAGAACTTTTCTTTTATCATATAACGAAGTTCTACAAAGGTAAAATATTAAAATTTCTTCTTGAAATTATGCAAAATTCTAAATTTCACAATTTCAGAGATTTTGAAAGTTTATTTTTTGAATATTTCAAAAACTATTGTAGTTTGAGAAATGGTTCTGCCCTCGTTTTAAAGTTGATATTGTGGCGATTTAAAACCTCGTAAAAACAAAAACTTATAAACCTTTTCGGCAAATTTTTTTTACAATACCTCCAAATTATTCTAAGAGGCTGAAATTTTCACTTAGCTGTTTTTTAACGTATGAATTTTTGACCTAAAAACATTTTTCCCCCCGAAATAAGGTTATCAATTTTTATTTAATTGAAATTTATTTTTATTTTATAGTTTGTAAAAAACATGTTGAAAATTTCAAGATCTTTTAAGATCAGTGAGAGTACTGTATAGTAAAATTTTAAAGTTCTGTAAATTTTTATATTTTTCGAATCTTTTCAAAATTCATCCAAATCAAAAATGGTCGATTTAATATGGATGGACCCACTCACTATAACTTATTTAAAAAAAAAAAAAATGTTAGAACACATTTACTTTAATAGTGTCATATTCCGAAAAATACAAATATTGAGTTAAGTATGCGGAAATTACCGTCACCTCTTCTTCTATGTTGTGTAAAAATTTCATAGCTGTATTGATTAGCAGTATCTCACTAGAACAAAAAATCTATTCACTTTCACTATGTGAGTATATGTATGTAAATTCCAAGCCGTACTCGAGTCAGACGCATCATCTATGTAGCCTATTACTTTTTTAAGTTATGACACTATTGAAGTAAATGAGCGGCAAGTAGTTCAGGATATTTTTTACTTAAAACACGCCTTGCTCCACAAAGTGAGGCGTAAAGAGTTTTGATTGGTAATTAGGTAACTTTATTTTGCAGAACACTTCGTCAAGTTTTTGTCAAAATTTGGGTGGAAGAAGGGCCACGCACTCTTTACCGAGGTTATTTTGCAACCGTACTGGGCGTGATACCATATGCAGGAGTATCCTTCTTCACCTACGGCACACTTAAGCGTGAATATTATGGTAAGTTTTTATGAAAGTTAATTTATCCAATAAAATAATTAGAAGACAGAAAATGTGTAATATTTAAAAATCTTTAACAACTATTATTTCAATTATAATGCTGCATGTCTACAGAGGTGACAGGAAACGCTAAACCGAATACTCTAGTCTCACTGGCATTTGGTGCTGTTGCTGGTGCAGCGGGTCAGACTTCTAGCTATCCGTTGGACATAGTGCGTCGGCGAATGCAAACAATGGGTGTCAATAAAGGCGCTAATAATCAATATCGCACCATATACTCAACACTGAAGAAGATTTACAAGTAAGTCATCGTAACAAACCTATGAATAATTTAAAATGACTAATTAATCTGTTATAACACTTTAACGCTCTTTAGGGAGGAAGGTATCAAGAATGGCTTTTACAAAGGCCTTAGCATGAACTGGATTAAAGGCCCAATTGCGGTTGGCATCAGCTTCTCTGCCTACGATTTAATTAAGGAATTTCTTAGGGAATTATTCCATTTGAAACGTGGCCGATACGATGCTTAGATCATGAAGCTGTTAATTTTGTATCTTAATTTATATTTTGTTATATATCTACATAATTTTTTTTTTTTTACTTGATAAATGGCAAACGGCACAGAACCGTATAGCGAAGAACTTATAATTTATAAATTAGTATTTTTATACATTATTGCTGTTTTCATAAACCGCGTCAACGTAAATGGTTCAATTATCAATTCTAGATATACAAATATATGTAGGTACATGCGTGTACGTTCGAGTATTTTCAGAGCAATCTGTCATATACTAAAATATTACCCGTTTAGATTCGAATTTGTCGAGAGCCGAGTTTTGTTCCTTTTTATATGTGCTAATATTTAAATATATATAACGAAATGCGATTAATTTAATTTACATATGCGAGGGTCGCCACTTAAGTGTTTAGAAA